GACTCCAATATCTCCGGTATTATTGTAAATCCGGAAAAGTACCTTGAAGCCCATGTAGTTCCAAGAAGCATGCTGAGTAATTTATACAATGACGAAAAGCGCAAAAGCATTTTCCGACCAAGTAAGAGGTAAAGGGAAGGAATTATTTGAGCCGTAATTGATACAAGGCGTAGTTGCCGACTGTATTCTATTTGTAAAGTACAAAATGGGGATTACATATGGTGGCAATAGGATCATTCGAAAAGGAAGGTCGCGTGCCAACAAAGCAGAAAAGTGGTTAATAAGATTAGTTGGGGAAGAGTATGTACGATCCTTGATAATGCTCGCTTCTGTAGATATCAACAGATTGCGCTTTCGATAATTACTTCTTCGTTACTTTGAACTTTTGCGATATATATGTATATTTTGCAATATTTGATCATCCACAACCATCAACAACAACAACAACAACAACAACAATAACCGTAGCAGTACTATCAACAAGAACAAACAAAATCTCTTATTTTGCCCATAATTTGAGATTACAGATTAGAAATGCATCTATTATCAATATTATAACATATTAATTAATGGCTAATGGATTCATTGCGAGTGCAGTGCTATAATTTATTTCAATTGTAAATACCTAAAGATTTCTGCCAGACAAATACCTGTCGTGACATTCTTTACTGACTTAATTGAGCGAGATACATTCAGTCGATAAGGTGAAGCAAGTTGCGCAATCGATGATCAGTACTCGGATGACAGTCAATGACAAATTACTCATTCTATGTATCAAGGATAAAATTTTTCCTCATCTACACTTTTCTGCAATTGAACATCAAAAAGTCATTCATTTTGCAAAAATTTACAAGCAGTACTAACTGAGGTGGACGATTTCATTTGTCTGTCATTATACGTTTGCACTCACTGAGTACAGAGACGGAAGTACTTCTCATACACCATCTCCAACCATTTGACCACCAAACGGTGTGATTTATTACCTCACAAGATCAGAATCTTATCAAGAAAACTAATCAAAAAATTTGGGTAGTAAAAAAGGTGATAAAATATGCAAAACGGAAAATAGTGGCATCGAAGGGAGATTGAGAGAATCTGTCAAAATATATGGCTGTCTCAAGAACGAAATTACCTTCACATTTTTTTTCCTCCGTTATGTCAATGCTGTTTTAGCATCTTTTAAAAGTTGATAAATCATTCTTTAGAGATGTGAATTGTCTGATAATTATGTGTCAATTGGGATGCAACTTAATTGAGAGCAATGCGTCTGATAAATTTCAAGTTCTGACATACTATTTCATCAAATTAATTCAAAAGTTTCTTCTAAAATTTATACGAAAATTATCGAAATAGCCATATATTTTGAGAGATTCTCATAGTCACCTTTCCTTGCCACACTATTTTTAGTGTTACATCATTTCCTTCCCAAATGTTTGACTAATTTTCTTGGTAAAATTAATAAGAGTATATTACTTTTTAGCTCTTAATAATATCAAATAATTCTAGTGTTAAATACGACAAATAAAAGTCAACATGCAACTTTAAATGTCAGACCATAAACTAGGTATAATCCACTAGTCATGATTTTATAATTAATCATTGATTAAACTATTCAACTTTCATTACCTCGCACTTCTATTAAAGTAATATGGGATCTAAGTTATTCCAATCAGCGAGTATTAATTTAAGTACAGTCATCACAAACCTATTATTAAATTGTCGCTTCTCTTAAGTCCTTTATCATCCAAAATGCGTAGCAAATCGGCGATGTGGTAATTCAATAACGGGTTTTCAGTGGAGTTATAAAAAGTATAATTTTAAACGGATTTTAGAGAGCAAATTTCCACCAGAAACAATGTCATGCGTAATTACTACTGTGACCCATCACAAACGTGTCAAATTTCATTAGAACCACTATTTTACATTACCAAATGGCTTTGATTTGATGAATTATTTCTAAAATGGTACAACAAGGTCTTCGAAGAAATGACATTTATGAGATCTGTAATGCATACTTACTACCAAATTTTAAAATTTAACGTAGTGATATTATTTACCACGTCCATAGTAATTTATTGCACTTACACGTACTTATCACATTTACATAATTGTTTTATTAATTTATTTGTATTCGAAAAAAATATATTTTAACTAAATTTCACCTTTTAATTCGTTACCAGAATTGCTTAAGCAAAAGATAAGTAAAGATTTACCAGAGTTCTCAGATAGAAGAGGAATAAATTTGAAGAAAAATTTTGAAACGGACCTGTGTGTAAGCCAAGAATGTGCTCGATACTGTGACTTAGCTGATTCTTTTTTGTTGCTTTCCTTTCATTGTCATTAGAGCTGTTAAGTTTCTTCGATCGGATATGCCTCAAAATTTTCACTTTGTGTTTTTAATCAAATTAAATGCATATTCATGTAAATAATGAGAAAGCTATGCATAACCATTCAAATTTTACTTCGAAAACAAAAATTCAAAAATTATAAGGACGAAAGTAAACTCACCTGTTGATGGAGGATACGGTAGGCGCATTTTCTGGAGAACAGATCTCTTGCTCGATAAGGCAAGAGCGCAGTTCACTTGCACATAGACTGGGACACTTCGCTTTTAATGCCAAAATATGCTTCTCAACAGCTTGAATAGCCAGTCGTGAACGTGGATTACCTCCGATCTGTGATATTTCACATAAATTTCAAAATGGCTGTGATTATTATTTCTCCACAGGATGATTACGGCTGGAGCCTTCAAATAGGGCATTCTTTCTTGAATAAATTGATTAGTCGATAACAATATTATCTATAATGACATATTGATGAATCCTTTTTCCAGCCTTCAATACTTCTCTCAAAACACTCTGCGAGAACTTCTTAAGACTAAAATAATTTATTCCTCCAATGCCAATAAATGTTTTTTGCGTTTTTCAGACATCAGAATTATGCATATGCCAAAATATTCTTATGTTACTAAACCTCGGTTGCATCATTTAAATATTTAAATTACACTGTGAAAAATTCGAATTTAACTACCACTTTGACAAGAACCCAAAATTTCGAAAAATGAGAATTCTTTCATCAAACTGTCAAATAACAATCAAAAGTGAACATTTCATCACAAGCACTCATTAACACACATCTGCCTGGACAACAACAGCTTACCCTACTCCTTTCCTTATTCAATAATCACGAAGACACAAGCGCAGCAACAACTGCTCTAGAAGAATGGCGTATAAATCTCCCGATAGGGGGTACGAAATCCGACTTGTGATGACCTGAGGCAGGCTGATGAATTTTTGATGAAATTTTGAAGAAAAAGAGCTCTGTGTCATTTTGCACCATATGCCTCCCAAACAAACCCTTTAGTATTTTTTACTTTTTGTTTTACTGAAGATATTTAGATCTATCATTGTCATTTGGATAATCAAAATTCATGCAAATGGTGTGAAATACGAAAAATACTGTATGTATTGTACAACGCAGCAATATTATTTCAAAAGTTTTAAAAAGAAAACCAACTTGTCCAGGTGATACAGAACCTGTTTCGACATATCGATTCAATATTTTGGATACAGCTCCATGAGATACACGTAACTGACGACTAATATGACAGGGTCTGGAATTTCCAAAAATTAGTTAATTAGGAGGGATTGAGATTTTTAACAGTTTGATATGGTTAAAAAATAGCTTCAACACAATCTAAAAAAATAACTTCAAGTACTAAAATTTTTATACCGTGTCATAAAAGTTTGAGTATTTGAAATTTCGAGTTCTAATGTTTACTGTACTTCAGGGTCTTATAAAACCTAAGCCACATTACTAATTCATTGTTTTCAAAAGAACTTACTTAATGCCATTACTGGCCATTTCGATTATTTTAATTCGGATATGTTGCGGTAATGGTCGTCCATTAATAAAGACACCGCCAAGTTGATTAATACGACCCTTTAAAAAAATTTCAGATTTCAATAAGGTTTACAAAGTATAACAGGATTCTAGGATTGAAAAATAAAGAACTAATTTTTTATTAGTTGATACGATAGCTTCATCAAAATTCATTTGTAAATTTGCGGCTAGTTTTTATGATTTTACTTATTTCCAATAAACCATATGATTTTCCAAGCCAAATAATCATTTTTCTATTTTCAGTGCTTTTTCCTTGAAAGTTTTCGCCTACAAAAGTGGAATTTTTTCTTTATACAAAAGGAAATCTCCAATGGATATTAGAAAGTAATCAGACCTGCCCCATAATATTCGTGAAAGTAATGTTTTTACTGCCGTCACTCATAACCCTCCTTGAACAAAAAGTGGAAATGTTCCGTCTGCAAAATTAAAATTAATTTATGTAAAAATTAAATAAGAGCTGCACAACAACTTTACCCTATTCACATTCGTTCAATGTATTAAACTGCTGACCTCATTAAAGAAATAGTGGAGAATTTAATAAAATAGATGAAAAAGAGTGGGAGAGAATTAGAATAAAATGAAAATTGCATTTTGGTTAAAATTTTTAGACGGATGAAAAGTTTGAATTGAAATCAAGTAAAATGCTGAAATTGCCAAACGAGGATAGAAAAACAAATAGTTAAAGTAATAAATGGGTCGAAAGAAGGGTAGGCGAAGCAAAATGAATCTGACGTTCATTTAATTAGACACAGAACATGCAAATGTCGTTTTGACTTTTTTCAAACTAGTAGCTTTGTTTATGATCTAAAAATGGATCTTAATGATTTAGTGATACTGTATAAGAAAAATGCAATGAATATGAGAAGTAATCTTCTCCAAGAAAAGGATTTATCTTAACTCTTGTTAGTTACACTAGTTGGCTTAAGTCATCGAGCAGATTTGTCTCTGTCAAAAAAACAGCAGTCAGACTTAAAAGATGGTTGAGACTTGGCTTGAGGAAAAACTCAAAAAACCCTTATTGTAGCGCGATTGGTATAAATGTAGCGAGAGGTTGAAATAAAATGCTTGCAATAAGAAAATTGAATCAAAGTGAGAAACAGTATCACAATCAAAGAAGCTTGATGAGGTTCCACCATGCAGATAAATATGATATCGTAGTGCCGTGGTATCATCAGTCATCTTTAACTGATACTTTCAGTATTAGTAAAGTGGTGCGAACATTTGTGTGAAGTGCTGTGACGAAAAGTGTAGTAAGTATGTTGTTCCGCTTATCAGCATATCGAAGCAATCGTCAATTGGTTTACAGAAGTTGCCCCTCCCTTCGTCACGCCCTCAATTTAACGGCCTTCATGAAATTACCGTTTCCGATCCTTTGACACTATCAACATTACCACCACTACCATCATCATCATATCATCATCAGTGTCAGTACTTTTATCACTATCATCGTCATCGTGGCCATCACCATTGCATTGCCCAGCATCACGACCACGATAACAACAACAAAAATAAAAACAACAAAAATAACAACAACAATGACAACAATAACAATAACGGCAATATCAACAACAACAACAACAATAACAATAACAATAGTAACAGCAAGAACAATAACACATATCTTTTATTCTTTCGCAGAGAGGTTTCGTATTGCAAAAGAATTTCTGTATGACAGAAATGAATATTCAGCCGATTTGTAGTCTTCATATTGCCCCTTTGCTGAAGGCATCCTGTTTGAGGATAATGTAGAGCTGAAAATTCCAGAAAAATGAGGTGATAATGGTTCTCGGATTTGTTATCATCAGATGATAACTTAATTTAAAAGCATTGAAAAATTGTCCTAAATGCATAAATTTGAAAATTGGACGTTTCAGAGCTGACAAAGTTATTATGATCATTTTTCTTCAAAGACTATAAAATCAATTTTACAGGAAGTAGACAATGAAATGGCATCAAAATATCAGTCAACAAATTTGTCATTGTGCAATGTAAACAAATATCTGCAAGCATGTATCACATCCATTCTACTTTTCCTCTTTTAACTCCGTTTTTTCCACTGAGAAATTAAATTAGAATTCAGAAGCCATGAAGCGATTCATTGTAAGGAATTCGAATGAATCCCATAATTTTGCATACATATTACAGAATAGTTTAACTTCCGTTTTAAATCTCAACTTTTGTTGTTGACAAACCTGCAAGGTTTGATGAATCAGCAAATGGTGTCATTAAGTAATTTCATTGTCCGATCGAGAAATTTGGAAAAACATCGACATGCTACCGTCAGGGATAATTAAGAAATTGATTTTTCTGATTCATTCAAGCAAATTTTATCTTCTTGCTCCTATAATAATGGAAACATTCACTTATTCATTGAACTATTTAAACTGGTAAACAATAAATGCTAAAGAAAGCTTGATATCTGTCATTTAGCGCTCAAACGGAAGTTTCCTAACTTTCATTAGATCGAAAAAATACTGTTCGATCCGTGATAGAAATTTTTTCATTCTTGGTAAATTGTATGGTACCAGTATTTTCATCATTCATAAAGTTCAAATCATAAAGTCTTCCTCTTACCCAAAAATTGGGCCTCAATTCAGGGCAGATAAAAGTTTTGTTAAATGAAATTTGAAATCCATTCTGAGCGATCTACTCGCTTCATTCTGGAAAACAGTGTCAAAAATTGCTCATATGAAGCAGGGAACCAATATAGCAGTCTGTGTCCATTATATTCCCGGGATCCAGTCTTGCGGTAGTTTCATTAAATCGGCGATCTGATCTGTCTTTCCGCCAAAGTAATGCTTTACTGAGGTGGTCAGAAGATTAGAACGAATGGGTTAGCGGCCTTTATGGTAGTATATCATTCCAAGGTGCTGTACAACATAATAATTAAAGATATGCTAAATTTCGGTGTTTGTGAGAGGATGATTTATTACTTTTACCTCTCTTATTCAAGTTCACTATATTGCCGCAATCTCCCTGTCTCAATCTCTTCATTAGGCTTTGATGGAACCGCAAGCCGCAAATCCGAATCCTGCCACTCAAAGTTGCATCTTTCTTTTTTTGTTGCACTCTGAAATACATAATTCGGGGAATAAAAGAATTATCGGAAATTTTTGTCAGTTTTTAAGTGAGAAACATGGCACATCAAGGAAGAAAAAAAACATTTTGAATGCATTATCACTTGGATGAACAAACAGTGCGTAAGGACGGAATAATCGATTTATAATTTCATTTTGGACCATGTATTTTTAGATTTATTTAATCAATTTCGGCAAGAAGTTTTGCGGGTAAGATTTGAGAGTACAGAGATAGAAAAGGTAGCTGAAACTGTGGGAAATAAAAGACCAAGAATATCATCTAAAAGGCCAAGAATATTATCTACAAATTATCGTTAATATATTCCAACAATTTCAGTGAGGATTGACAGCTTTTTGTTTTGTAATAGTACTTGAAGAATTTATCAATGATGTCGTATTCATACAGATGGATTCTAGCTTGCCTGATCTCTTGTTTTTATTGTTTCTTTTTGCTCCTTTTTAATTTCCTTTTAGTAGCCTTCTGTTGAAGTATGAATCGTCGATTCTGTTTGAAGGATTTCCATCAACCATGATCTCAACCAATTTTTTTTCTTTTCGATCTTACTTCAATTGTAAAGATGAGACAAGTCTTTCGTATTGAAAAAATAACAGACGATGCTTTTCCTGAATGATACCTATGCAAGTGCATTAAGAAGAGGTCAAACAACGATGATATCTTTTGGCTAATGATCATCGAGTTCCTGAGCTAATTACTACCTTGCAAGTTCCTGAAGAACAAATTGAATAAAGTATAAGTTATTGGGGTCTATAACTTCGAAATGTCTTTAACGCTTTTTAGCATCTATTCTCATATAACCATTACACCGCTAAAAATGCAGCTAATTAATTCTTCAGTATTCATGCAGCGCTGGGTTGGAAACTCTAAATCAATACACTTGATTTAGTCAACCAAGTAGAAACTTCTGCAACATATCTTGCAATAGCGTATCTCCTCTCTTCAATGTTATTCATGGCTCACATATTAGGTTTACTAAACTTGAAATTTCTGAAGCGTATTCATATACAAGCTAAGCAATAATGATTGAAATTTTTGAGATCAAAGTCAAATTCCAAATCCACAAAACAAAGTTTTGCATTTTCCATGAAATACATGATCCAAGTACAGACTTTTAACACCGAGCAATGTTTTTTTTTGTTTACTGAGATAATCACTGCGCCATCAATTTTCTTCAAGACAACAGACAACATCAATATCAAGGAATCGGTTTTTTGTTCAAATGTGGAACAGCTGTTGATCGGTAGTAATGCATATAAAAAGGACAAACAACAAGATATTACCATGCACAATACCTAAGATTAATTCATGTCCTATGAGTTGTCCTGGGTTAATAAACCCAGCAATCTTTCACAAGCAAATCCATTTTCGTTAGCCAAGAAGTGATTTAATAAAGATGTGAAAATAAAGTATAAAACTTCATTCCACCTTTAAACTCAACAAAACCCACTGAATCAAGGTGCAGAAGCTGTATGTGGAAGGAGTTTAGTCGTTTGTGATCATATCGAGGTTAATACACCTCAATATACGCATTTAAGGGCTCTGAATCTCACTTTCCTTTGTAAAATATTGACATTATAGTCACGTAACGATCAAGAAAATAATTTAATGTTGGCTGCAAAATAAATCTAGCAAAAATATGTAGAAGAGAAGAAAGCAAGATATGCATATACATCAGTTAAAACCGAAAGTAATTAGAATTTTGAAACAATATATAAGTCACAGACAAAGTAATCAATACATTCTAAAATTTCTAATAAGACTTAATCATTGCAAAAAAAGGAAGGTTAAGAAAATTACGTCCTAAAACTATTGATTTTACCAACAGATTTATTCACTACCAAGAATATTTCTTTAAAATAGTAGTTCCGAACCCGTGGTCCGCGAGCACTGAAATTTGGGCCGCAAGGGCAAATAAAAATTATTTTCCTTCTTTTTATATTATAATGTTACTCCAAGTTCAACTGGTACGTTGAAAATATTGATTGAAGTATATTTCCAAATGAACAGAATTTATTATTTTCGAACCCAGTGATCCAGATTATTTATAAATAAAAAAGTCCAAGTGATCGCTGGTCCAGAAAGTGTTGGGAACCACTATCTTATAAAATCGTTTGCAAATGATCGCACTATACAAATTTTAGGGAAATTCCAATTTTTCTTCGATTTTTACTAATATAGGTTTAAAAAAGATTATTTATACATAATTACACGGACAGAGATTCGACAATAGTTCAAAGTAATCTGACAAAGTATAAATTTATGAAAATGGTGACTAATTAAGCATGGTATGATCCGTGAAAATATTTCTTCGCTGTTCTTCAACTTTTCGCATCCAACGATTTTGCTCGGCTTCGACTCGCCCCAAAACATTATCTGCAACTAAATCCAAATGTTGTTTCTCTGAGGAAGGAAAAAAAAACTGCTCTCATAACAGATTTTAATAATCAGAAATTTTGCATTGCCTGAATTCATAGTTTTTAATTTTCAAATTATTCTTACGTGTTTGTAGATTCTATATTTACGGGACAATGAAACATTATGCCACTGATGCACGATCACTAAAATTTACAAAAAACTCACTGTTCCGAGATCGCATAGTGATTGAAGGTGAAAGATCTGAATATCGCTCATCCGTTAATGTTCTACGGGCAAAAATATTGTCTTCCATCTGTAATAAAATGCTGTTCTCCGCAAAATATAAGAATGTACCCACAGTAATTTAGAAATTTGCAATAAATTTGGTGAGTCATCTTCTTGATAATTTTTCATGAGCCTCTGCTAAGCCTTTGTAACCACTCACATACCTCATCGTTTTGCTGTCTGTATGGGACCGAATGCCGTTGCTTGCGTAACATGGGATCCAAGCACATCAGGAAAAGCATATAAGTAACCAAAACGAAAACTACGCAAATAACAAATATTACAACAACCTGAAAATAATTTATCACAAGTAGATAAGAACTGCACAGCTGAAAGCACATATAATCACAGGTTCTGATTTTAGCAAATATGAAAGACGTTCTCAGCTCCACCTTCATGTGATAAATTATTCTTTGAAATTTGAAATCTTCGAAATTTCCTTGAAACTATTGCCGGTCAGTCTACATCTTACAAATACTACCAAAGGAATTCATTTAATTCCTGTACGATTATCGAAAACAGAAAACTGAGACATACTTTCAACAAAACTGTATTTCTCGACTCATGTTTACAATCACAGTTCGCTAAAAATGCATCCAAATGTGCAGCATCTACTATCTCTAAAACGTTCGGTTTCACCACTGTTTGTGGTTTACTGCAAAAATAAAAATGCATTCTCCAATCAATTTATGTCCAATACGTGAACTACCAAAATTCGAAAATAAAATAAAAATATATGGAACCTTTTTTCCTCACTTATTTTTTCTTCCTTCCTCTCTTGTAATAGTTTTTAGCGATTCGAGCTTAGACAAAGCAACAATTTCATGAGGTTGAAGCAGTTCTCAAAAAGACTACCCTACGCAATGTAGTAGCTTAATTCGAATTTATAAAAAAAATTTTAATGGGAGATAGCAAAAATGTTATACCACGTGAGAGCGTTAATATTTGATTTCGTATAATATCGCCTCTCATCACTCACTGTACTATTTTCCGATGCGAAATATTTGGTGGATGGACAAACACAACGACACCGTGCATCTTCAAAATTACCCTGAAACCACTGTCGGTCAGTTTACATCTTATAAATACTACCACGAAAATTCATTTAATTTTTATACGATTACAAGATCAGTGCATTTTATATTTCAACTTCCTGAATGGCAAATTTAATCCCTTTGCAAAAGCCCTTCCCGGACAGAAGCTTTAGTGCGACTATCAAAACATGTTCCTAAGTAATCTTTCCAAATATCCTGTAAAATGTTACATTTCCTTTGCAAATAGAATTTCGAAACTTACATGAACATGGAGAAAACAAATGAACAACAGAAGAAGTGACATTAACGATAGGGGCAACATAAACTACCGTCGACCTCACACGCACTTCATCAAATCTGAAGACATAATGAAAACTTTAAAGTTAGTGAAAATCAAATGTGAAAACCAAACCAGTTCACCTCGGAAAACAGAGATCAAGCAGTATTCGCGAAAAACAAAGATGACACATAAATTGGGAAAAAAATCACTAACATTCCGAAGTATACGCTACAAATTTCTAGAAGCGAATGATCCACATCCATCAATACTAGAATAGGATATGTGGGAAGCTGGATGGTATACAGAGAGAGAGAGTAGACGGTACTGGAGAGGGTATTATCTTGATTATTAAGTCAGACGTATATCGTCATTAGAAGAGCGACATGAAGTTAGGGCCAAACTAATGACGAAAATATCTCCCAAGTCAAAAAAGCCCTGTCTTCCTATCACATCGAGAAAACCGATACACCCCCCAATGAGGCGTAAAACGTAGCTTGCTGGTATGAAAAATCACAAAGTCCAAACCACCGAAACATTGTAGCAAGACGGCAATGCTATTCATTCAAGGGGGCAATATGCACAATCGTGTCTCTTGTTGTGTTGAGTAATCTTTGCGGATTTGCATCTTTCTTTGAGTCTTATTAAGGGATGTATGTGTGTGTGTGTTGCTAGTAGGTAATGCTTATTTTCGGACATTTCAATCTACAAGATGGTTGTCTCATCTCTCACTGCCCACAACCTAACATTTGGTGGTCGAGAAGCTCGGCAGTAGGTTCTTGCTTTGTTTATTATGTTTCGGCACTTCTGCGGTTCCTGTACCACTTTACTTTGGAGAAACTTATAGTTTATTTGTATGTATGCAAAAAAAAATGATGGTATCTGTCTGTCTTATTCATTTGTGCACGCCGAAGTCCTTTGCCGAGGTGCAATTTGGCTTGTGCTTATATAGGATGTTTCACCTAAACATATTTGATCTCAGTGCATGCAAGTGACCATAGTATGAGTACAAAAATGCATCCATTCTTAGATTCACATTGTTTTACCATCGAATTTATTAATGCTTCTCAACAGAAGTGATATCGACTCACCATTCAATGATAAAAAACAGCTTCAGGATTTCCTCACTGTATTTTTTAAATTGTTTAAATTATGTAGAAACAAATGATTATAAGCAAAAGTTATTGCCTGAAGCAAAACGGACTCATTTTTGTTGTAACTTGGGTCACAAAGATGGATTGAAAAAACTGCTGCAGAAACTATTGAAACCATTGAAATACTGCCATGAAAGGCATTCACACAGCTTCTGTGAATAAATTTTTGGTACAAATCTTTGAAAGTTCCGTTCAACATTTCCAAGTTTGAGATTGTGAGCGAAAATTTCCCATGATCGATCCTGAAAAATACAGCGGGCAATAATTTGATGTTACAACATGAGTGGAAGGTTTTATTATCTACGAAATCAGTGGTATGTTCCTTCGCTGATTTACGTGACAAATATCCTTACACTTTAATTATGCTTTGATAGCGAACTGAAATGCATTCATCGATCAGGAGAATTTTTCTGAAAATTTTTCTTCTGTTCATATCTTCAACAGTTCAGTTCCGTTACCACGTAATTTGGTGATTGAACGTTTCCCTGAGAATGAGGTGTGTAATTTTTTAATCAATTTCTGGCTTTTTATGTACTAAATAAATTGAATGGTAACGCGAACAGCGTGATTTACAGTATGAAAATAATTCACTTCTATCGTCTTTTGAAATTTTAATTATCTCACGCTAAAGCATAAGGAAAATTCGTTGTTACTTTGCCGTTCTAACTCGATTTCAAGTCACCTGCAAAGACTATCTTTGCACATTACAATAACTTTTTTTGAGCTATACTGAATTGATCTGATTGTCGGATTCTCTTCTAAACTCAATATGCGCTGAAGACACTAAACTTCCATGGAAAAGATGCATTTATTTACTTAATTGTTAATTATCTTCTCGCTATTATTTTAACAGAAACATGAGAAAGCTACCGAAAGTTTTCTAAATGATTTATGGACTATTATTATTCAACACAGTCCTCGTTGTACTATTTGTCGCTACATGCACTATTCTCTTCAGCGGAAGTGTCTTTCGATTTCCTTGGTTACAACGCAATACAACCATTAGAGCAAAGAAACACAAGCGAATGTATCAGGTCAGGGAAACGCTAATTCAGTTAATTATTGACTATACTATTAGGTGATTAATCGACTAATCAGTTGGCCATGAAATGCTGAAAGACACCACAATTGTCATATCCGCTAATCTGGATAAGTTTGAACTAGAGGCTGATGGAATACAGATTCAGGTTCAGCTACAGTTATCACTACCTATTATCATCCGTAATTCCCGGTGATTGTTTCTTTGATTTCGATCTATAGCCGGCATAAAATTTTTCAAAACAAATAATATTTCTTAATTCAGTGCTATATAGACGGCATCAAAGTATTACGAATATTACAAGTAGAAACTATTGAATTCAATGGATAAACACTGCAGAAGTATATACAGGTTGATTGGAATTTCCCCAAGATTGCTTGCTTATCGGTTCGAGTTATTCCAGCCGTGCTCGATTTTTCTTCTTTCTCATAGCAGTCTGAGATGCAGTACTGCTTTGATGACAGCTGGAATATTTGTACATGCCAAATCTCTCTTCAAGATGCGCAAAATCTATATACTTTTTTTGAGATACATCGACAAACCGCTTTATCAAATGAAATGTTTATGGTGAAGGTAATTGAAACGGAGCAGTGGGAAAAGAATACAACCTGACAAACGCATATAGCTGTTGCCATCTTAATACTTCATTATGAAAGAAGAAAGCGGCAAATAAACCCTTTATCTGCCCACTTTCTGATCCACATCAATCCGCTACCTGAAATAATACTTAAATTTACATTACTGCTATCACAAGCGATCTGCTAGGATTGCATGAAGGTTGAGCCGGTGCTTTCTTCCATTTGCAGATTGTTCTTGTGATAAATGTCGTTGACAGCTCCAATCATGAAATGGCAAGAAAAGTAATGAAGTTATTTTTTACTGGCTATAAGTAGTTCATAAACTATGAAAATTCATGAATAGTTTGAAACAACTTCCTTGCATTTGTAAAACAGCGTGCACATGCACATATAGCATACTTGCAATGCAACAAAAGTTCTTGGATCGTTTCAGGACAATATCGAGTGCACCAAAGTTCGTCCTTCCACAAGTACAAATTTCTTTCCTTCAATACAATCCCAGTTTACAAGTTTAAAAGTTCTCACTTTGCAAAAATTTTCTGTTTTTCATTCCATCATCCAACAAAAACGTTTTCACAATAATTTTAAATTTGAAAACAACTGTATTTTCACTTTTTCCTACTGAAAAAACAAAACATTGTTAAAGCCTGCAGCAAAATTTCTGTCTTAGTTGATACCAGACCAAACAATTTGAAAGGGTACAGCGTATCTTCACGGAAATTGATCAGACCTTCTGAAACAAATCACTCAAATTGGCTTATCACATTTGTATGATAGCAATCCATACCATATTTGTCGGATTATTGAAATTAAAATTATGTTCTAATAAAATTTCTATAATATCTACCAAACAGAATGATGAAATTCTGTAAGTAAAATTAAGGGATGATAAGCTAACAATGAGGGGAATGTCATAAAAACATCTCAGTATCTATCTATTCGCGGCTGTACAGTGGTTCATGCCAAGTGGCAGCCATATCTCCGTGATAATCTCGGTGTAGCTTACCAAAACTTTTCTTCTAATCCTAAGTACACGTATATGCGTATATGTTGAAAAGATCCCACCCAGTCAATTTTAACAAGCAAGCAGATAATATCGTTCAAGAAAAATAATACATCACAAATAAACTTATATTGTTGAAAAATGAACTCAACAAATTAATATTTTCGCTCGTCAACACTTGTCAATTGAATTTTTTTGGAATAGAAATAAATGACCAAAAAACTGTTAGGAGCAAAAATTTCACTGAACTCTGTTTCCTTTTACAATCACATATAGCTCTTGCAAAGTTGATCACAGAATACACCTAATCACTAATCTGGATAAACACTTTCAGGATATATATGTGGGAAATGTCGCCAATTCCAGGTCTAGTGAAAGACTTTTATTTCAAACAATGTAGCTGACTATTTGCAAGATTTTAAACATTAATTGGTGGTATTTAGAAACATTTCATGGTCAAAGAAGAGGATCCTCTTAGCAATATAATGTGAAAATGGTGACTATGAAGCTGAGGATTGAGAAGAATACAATATGATGTCACAGGAGAACCTTCAAATTAAAATAAATTGGATAGTGATCGCAACAGTTTTGAAGATCTATTCACACAATGGGAGCCAAAGCGATATTTATTTCAATGAATTATTACTGCTGTAGATTTGACACTCACTCGAATGCAATTGAAAAAGACAGGTGTTTTCCACGTTGTTCTCTAACAATCTTATATAATGTTAAATAGTGAAGAGCTGCAAGATCCCGTGCTATTAGGAAAAATTATGATAGGGAAACAATATGGTTCTTCAAAAAAAGAAAAAAAAGTGATATATTTCACAGGGAACGAAAAAGAAATGAGAATTATTCCGTCTGCAGTTTGTCGCATTAAGAATTGATTGTAACAACTTCTTTGCCACTACCACCGATAAATAGAATTCGTTGGAGATTCAGAGTGAGTGTATCAACATAAAACATGTAGTGCGACAGTATTTTCCTCTTACTTATCGGTGGACGAGGAAGGCTGAGAAGGACTAACTGCGAATCTTTCGAATTCCCCACGATAACATCATTGAAACGTTTTATTGTTCCCAAACTTGGCTGGAAAATAATCGGAAATCATTTTTAAACGGCTGATTGGATGATAAATTTATCATTGACTACCTCAAATAATTTTACGATGAGTCAGATGAGGATGTGAAATAATCTTTTCGATGAGAAGATAACAGACGACAAATAAATAACCCATAATCAGTTAACAAGTATGCGTTAAATTTTAATATCCAGCGGAACCAATCGATACATCCTTTTAAATGATTATCATTTAATCATTTGTTTCACTGCTACTTTGCTAAGAAGTTTTTCCACTCCATTATCCATTTAATGGTAAAGATTCATTTTTATGTAAAAAAAAAAAAAATTCCAAGTAATTTCCTAACCATCTTCCAGTTTTCATCGTCATGAAATTCCTTTTCTCCTTGACTATAAACTGATAAATGACGTTTTGAAAGTGAAGAACAATTGTCCCTGAACTCATCAACTTTTAAAGATATTGACATCCAAACTTGGAATTTAAAAGTGCATTGCGTAATCACTTACCGGGTAAAAGTTGTTTCTGTTTGTATTTCAGTATTTTCACTTGCGGCATCTAAATTTGCACATTTAGCAGCAATATATTTCAAAATAAGTTTTTCGCTGGAAGAGTTAGGTAAAGGTATTAACATTTCCAAATGCAAAAGCAAGATAACAGTAGAGGTAAATAAGGAGGTGCAGGAAGAATAATTAGAGAATGAAATAAGTTGAGAAGAGAACAAATAAGATAATAATGTGAAATGCATGTGAAGAAGTAAAGAGTAATTTGAGGCAAGAATGGCTGTCAACTAACGAAAAACACAAAGAATCTTGTCAAAAATATTTCAATAACGGCATGGGAAAACGAACCTTTAACTAATTTTTGGTTTTTGTGGTCAATTTTTCCCTCTTTGGTGGCAATCTGAAAGCAACTGGAATTTATGAATTTAATAAAAAATATTCACTGTTTAGTGACATCTTTTAATTATCACAAAATAATTTTCGTATCTAAGAAACTCGTTCTTACAAATTTTTACCTGAAAAATAAACCTTCCTTTCTAGGTTTCTTCTCTTGATCATAGTCAAAAGCGTTTATTGCTAGGATTGGTACATTTTAAGTTCAGTGCTGTTTTTAGAACAGCTCTTCTGAGTAACAGAAATGTCATTTTCTCCTAGTTGGGTCAACTATTATAGCAATTGAATGCGCTCTTCTAAAGAAATGGAAGAATATTTGAGAGTAGCTTTTTTCAGGTATAAATTTAACCATGAGTGCAGCAGCACTACAATCTCCTCCAGTCGAAGTTTCAGATACATCTTTTTGATTCACACTGTCATCCACTATCTAAATATTTCCAAAGTCATGATTTATTAGATGAAAATCCAGTAAAGAACTTTTGAAAGTTCGGATGAACTACAAACTTTTCAATTTTCTTTATTTTCAATCAAATACGGGAAGTTGGTAAAATTAGGAGAACTTACAAAAACTGTTGCATTGATACGTAACATATAAATGTATTTTTGCAGCATTTCTTTCAATTCAACATTCCTTTCAGGTATTTCACCAATTGCAAAAATTCTCAATTTGCAGCCTCGCCATACCTGAAAAGTGATGGTTTACGCAATTCGCTCTAATCATTATGCAATCATTGAACTATTTGCACTCACAGTTCACGACGTTTTCAGTTCTTGTTCCCAGTTCACAGATGTCATTAAACATAACATTTAAAGATAGGTACCTTATTTTGCTTGAGAAGAAATGCAGTCAGCATAAGCAAATCGCCATCATGTGAAATCCACCAGATATCTATGTAACCAGTTAGACGATCACTAGATAATGATGGAAATGCTGTGATGCCTTTGGTTAGCATAATACATTCATCATTTGCTACAGCTTCAACTAACTCCACTAAATCCGAAAAAGTTGAAGTTTTTAATAACACATAACTACTTAGTGGTTTTTGTTTATTCCTTATATTTTAATATAAATGAATTTTTCATGTGTTTATGGATAAGCTACAATTCACTCCTCCCTGTTGAAATAACATCGCTTTTTACAGCAAATTAGGCATAAAACCCGAAGTTTTTTCCTGCAAAGCACTAATACCGGCAAAGACTGCCTTTTCCTCTTCTCTTTCAGGCCAATTCATCAGCACAGTGTTGGGTTTCAAACCACCAATACCAATACTTTGGAATAATGTCGTAAAGCATCCGTCCATCTGAAAAGTTATGCACCGTGTGTTATTTTCTAGATCTATTTTCAGCTAATAATAGAGGGGAGTTTAAAAAACTCTAAAACATTTATTAGCCTTTATTTTTGAATCTCTGAGGCTTGAGAAAAAAGAAATCGAGAGATGTTTACTCGTTGAAACTACAATATTTTAATCAAAACTGAGTTTTGAAAGTTTTAAAGAGGCTAACATTTGATAGGTTAACATTTTTTCTAATTTTTAATAAATTACATTAATTTACCTGATCTTCATCATATAGTAACGTTTTGCCAAAACCGCGCAAATGAACCCGCAACATATCGTGTTGGATCTTTTCTTTCACCTTAAATTAACGTCTTTATTTATTTATTTATTTTTTGTATTTCGTATTGGAAAATTGATTTAATGTCTTTCTTACAATGATGTAATGTTCAGGATTAAGGCCATTGATTTTACCTTTTCAGCTTTTTGTCGATCACTGCAGTTCCAAACAGAACCCTTTATAAGCGCAATCACAATGGCCAAACCCCGTCCTGCTTTTAATTGTCCAGCTAAATCAATTAAATTAACATTCTGCTTGTCGATGATACCATTAGACCAGGTGTCATATATCAGAACAAGCAACTGAGGCCTAAAAAGTCATTAAAACAATGTCTTTCCAAGCTGATTTACATTTGTATTCATCTATTCCGTTCTCCTGATTTATTGCTTTTTTGCTTAATTAGTATTCGCATGTCTCATTTGTTTTACATCTGTTATAATTCTGGTTTTAAATATCTCCTTTGCCTACCGCCAGTTTTTCGGATGTGGATCTTTGTCCTCAACTTTCAGCAAACTATACTGCGCTGTTGACAACGCCAAACCCCGTATTCCATCACCCCATTCTTTTTTAGCCCTGAAAAATTTCAATGTTTCAAAAAAAACGACTGGTTTGATTTGCAGAATCACTGTATCTTTTTTCATTTATTTATTTTTATTTACCCATCAGTGGAAATAAATTATCTTTACCCTTTCCATTCCACATACTTGTATATAACAAAAGTCAAAATGATTGAAAATAATGCATATTGCCAATGTGATGCGAACATTATGAAGAAACACAAAGCTGCACCGGTCAATGATAAGGACCTAGAAGTAAGCAATGCTAAGCAGAACTAAACTGATAAAACAATAAATCACTGAAAAGAAATTCAATACAAAAGTGGCAATGCAAACTCATGAGGTACAATTATCCTAGTACAGGTTCTTCATGAGTTATATCAAGTGATGCTGAACGATGAGATAAAAATAATACCAGTGATAGTAACGAAACCGTGGTCTCCAGTTTGGTACTTTCAACAATGAATGCAACGCACAGATTAGATTCACAAATGCATAACACATGAGGAAGAAAAAATCCAGTACCTCAGCTATTTTATCCACCGCGCCAAGCAATATGGCAAATTCAGCTATCAATGCTGTCATTAGTAAGCTAAAATTCAGAGTAAATCAAGAGAAGCTGATAGAAGAACTAATCTTAAAATATACCTGAAACATTCTATGTAAAATTGTCCTTTGTGATTCAACCGTTGTATTTAGATATTCTTCATATTTCATTTCTCGTGGTAATACAGGGTCTACATTTCGTTGGAAGGCTTAATAGCTAATTCGTTACTTACCCAAAAAATGGTTCATTAGTTCCCGTAACTTTGGAAAATGGTGCCAATGCTGGTATAACATCGTCTTTAGCAATTGATTGCAGTAAACGTGGTGCACCTGCAACAATAGCAAAACTTAAATGTGATACTCTTGCTTTACATAATGAGTTCGACAACGTATTAAAAGGTAGACCGTAATCTAAATAGGAAATAAGTGAAAATTCGGGACACAATTGTATTTAGATCTGATAAATTTAATTGGCTCCAGATTTTTTGATCAGAGGGTGCAATATTGCTCCAGTGAAGTTACTAAAGCCCAGTTTTCCAAAGTCCTGTTTTTTTTTTTTTTTTGCTATCACTCAATTTATTCGCTGGTATGCTATGGTTTTCCTACAGTATGCCAAAGGATAAAATAAATAATCATGGAATCCTTTTGAAATTTCCTGTACAATTATGTTCATTAAACAATCAATAGATGACATGTTAAATACCTGAAAATCTTCCATTTTGATAAATATCGTTCATAAATTATTGCATTAATCTGACATTTTTACCTTAACCGGTTAAGGTAAAAATGACTGTACTTTCAATCAGTTTCTTATTTGACACCGAAAATCAATTTATTTTGCTCATTGGAGTTAATTTTGGTGTTTATTGCATTTGTGGTCATCACCAGTAGTGCATGATAAAGTTATTCACTGAACCAAATTAAAAATTTCAAAACATACTGCATAAACATTGTAAAGCAGCACCGAATGTGGACAGGAAAGAGCCAATGATGACAACCCACGGTGAGGGCCAAGACAACAGTGCAACAATCATCGAACTGTCCAAACTTCGCCCATATCTACAATTTATGGGCCGAATGTTAATTTTAATTCTTCAGATTACAATCATTTCCAAAATACAACGTTTTTCAATCGTAAGGTAAACTGTTACTGAGAGTCGCATTTCTATAAAATCTACCTATATGACTGTTTATTATTATTGATATCATCCATTAGAAGCGATATGAATTAATGATGTTGATCAAATAAGTGCAAAAATAATAACTTATCACGCAAAACCGGTCCAGTAATTGAGGCACCGAATAGTAATGCTAATGCGTAATAAATTGTGGATGTTGTTAGTGTTGCGGCGATCGTTCCGCATGGAATCGACCTTTGCGGATCTTTCAAGTCGCCTAAAATCTCGCACTTCCTGCACTTTCAACCAGTCACGTTATTTACGTCAAACTTTTACATATATGAATCACAACAAATTTTCAAGCTTATTCGGAAAGGTTTTAAATATGAAAATCTTTGTATTAGATCATTAGTTGTCGAGGTTATCGTGGTTTAATTCTTCCCATACTGCAGGAATGGAGTGAATTAGTGAAAAGTTTTTGGAGGAAATGGACGAAGAAATCCGCTCGTTTACATTCCTATTTTTCCATACGTTACAATCATTCTATTTTTAGTTCCTGGCTTTGTTGACATATGAACCGAAGCACAATACATCTTCAACTGTCACACTCTTCATCAAACGGTAATTGAAATATCAGTATTTCATGTATCACACTATGGAAGGAACTAACCACTCATATTTGTTCCTGTCATAATGCCGGTAACAGCTGGGAAGTAGATGGCAAGCAAGATGAAAAAGCTTGTGTGAAAGTCTTGAGAAACTTCCAGACCAGCATCATCAGCCGCTACATCGGGATAAGATTCGCCCGCGTCCATATACATTCGTTTCATATTTTCTGCAGATTATATTAAAATCCATTAAATATTTTCAAAGTTCTTCCAAGCTTCGGAAAACGTGAATTCCATAGAAGCACTGATGTGCAAGGAAATTCCGTCTTCAGTAGACTTAGTGTTCTAGAATACTTCTGCCGGACAAATTTCCACTTAGCTCTGTTTAGATTTTTTCCACGTTCTTGAAAGTTTTTAAAAACTTCAAACATCTTTCAAGCAATCTTTCAAGAAGTTCTGTTAGAAATGTGAAAATAAATGGAACTAAAGAAAAAAGTTTTAATATCGGCGAATAGAAACTATAGCACCTTAGAAACACAAGATATTTGATTTTTGGTTGCATTCGTTTGAATTTTGAATAAAATTCAGTTACCGTAGAAGGTTTGCGCATTGATGCCAGGGAATGCGTTGGCGCATGTCAACGTTGAAGCAGTAAAATGTGTGCAAAAAGATGCTGTTGTGCTGTTGCAGAAATCATCCGATATACTGAAATTCAGAAGTCATCTGGACTAAAATTGAACAAACTACAAATCATAGAACTAATCACAATGGTCATCAACTTAATGACGCTTATCATTATGATGATGATAAAAAGGAAGTTTATAAAAAGGAAAATGTACTCTTCGGATTTAACACATCGCTTGCAAAGTGTTGAAAGATCGGTGCCATGTGGAAAAAATATTCGTGACTGAAGAAGTTGTTCGTTTAGCATACATACACTGTAATTTAATACTTTTTGAAATGCATAAGATCAGCTAATAGAAAGATAAGGGGATATTATGTTGAAGAATAGCAATACTAATTAATTTTAGGATCTGTGATAATGAAATTTGATGGGAACATACTGTTGACCGCTATGATGAAGCGCTTTTTCGATACCGCCGGCAAAGCATGCCAGTATAGAAACAATAACTACGAACAGAGATACCTGCAGATTGAAACAGGAAATCTTTGAATAAACTCAGCTCTTTAATACAGCGGATTAATCGCTACTGACCAATCTCATCAGATTTTTTATTTCCCATAAGTTCTGATGGAAATATTCAAAAAAAAGCTCTGAAAATTGCAATTCATCTTTAAAAAACGAACCGGTGCAAGAAGTTGTACAAACCGTACACCCATAGCAACGATTATCACTTCCAGTAAAAGAAGCATTGATCCGTAAATACGATAATTATGTGACATCATCCCCCACATACCTCAAAATTTCAAATAATTGTGTTTTGAAGTTTAAAAAAGCTAGGGAAATTTTCAGACTGTTGTTGATTATCATATTCTTCGCCAGCGTTTGATATCTTTAAAAAATCGAACCGGTATCGGAGTGCACATCGCTACCACCAATAGTTAAAGATGGAAAAATGTAGAGCTGAAAAGAAATTTAAAAATTTGCCATTTACAATCGAGATGAAAAAAGCTCCGTACATGATCTTTTGTTGTGAAAAATGAAAAAAACCTCTCGCATATTTCATCGCTATATATATCAATTAATAGTTCATTTAGAAAAATAATATATGTATATATGTTAAACTACTTATTTTCTTTGACTGAGATAACACCTCATCTAGAGGAAGAGAACTAAAACTAATGAAGAAAGGGTTAATTCCATAATTCCACGAGAACTTTACCAGCATCACTTCAATTCCACCAATTATATACATTGATGATGCCACCGTATTCGCCAAATAGAACAAAATACCCACAGCACTGCCAAATTCTGCTCCCAAATTCCTTGAAATCATAAAATAAACTCCTCCGCTTTCCACAATGCCATTTGTTGCTACCGCTGATAATGAGATGCTTGTCAACAATGTCTGTAATATAAGCTCTTTAGTAGTCTAATGAATTAATAATGAAATATCATTGGAGTCAAATGGTAGCAATCCGAGCATTCTACGGTTCTTTTTTTAAAGGTACAAATATCAGCGATATAAACTATTCCAATACCAAACATAATGTCCTGATTCGATAATCTTCGCGAATTTTTGCGCTTAGATTGTTAAATTTGAATTATAACTTCCAAACTTCAAGTCCATAAAGAATCATGCTTACACATAAGCAGCAAAGCAGTAACAAAATCATAGTATCCATTATGCCAGCTATTCCAACCACCCATGCCAGCCGTATGAACATTGTTACTCCAAGAATATGCTGGATCGTTGGTAAAAATACACCCAGCATTACTCCTAGATTAACCTGAAACAATGAGACCCCAGCTTGTTATTTGAGGAATTCCAGACATCAAAAATCATATTGAGGCAATTTGGACCAGAAATTATATTTAAGTTTTCCGATAAATTCATTTTTTTTTTGGATGATAAGAAATACACTGAAAGGCAAAAAATATAACTTCCATGTAATTGTTATTGTGAAGACAAAATGCAATCACTCTGAATATTTTAATAGGAAGTTCGATCTTTCATTCCGTTCGAATTTCTTACCTTTGATCGCGGTGCTGTATAGGCGCAGGGGAAATTTGCTTGTCCACTAAGTCCATCTTTTTCATTCACATCTACAAAATCGCTTTTTACCAGTGAAAATTTAATTTCACTTTTCATTACTCAAACAATGTCAAATACAACCCTCCTAGCATTTCCTATTGACACATGGTACTTGCTATTCGTCCCAAAACACTCTTCACCAAAATGATTGATCCCGTCACCAATTTTATCACATTCAGCAGCAACCAACTTTTCACTCACAATGAAAGTGCGATTGAAAAAATGTCTCTGTCAATTCGAAAATTCAGTTCAGGCCCCTTGAGTTGCTGAAATCCTATTCAAATCTATAACATGCTAATTTTCTATGGGTTATTTGTCAAGACCTGAAGATTAGTCTTCTCTCTCAATGCAGTTAGTAATGCGATCACATTCAGATAGTCTTATAAAAACCTTTTGAAGCGCGTACTTTGATCTCTAGCTCATAAAGACACAATTAAATCACTGATTCATACGGTAAATAAGCTCACCTTCAGTTACTACTGTTCGAGCTTCTTCCAGTGATGGATGAATTTGTAACACCATCTTCTTGTTTTGACCTAAGGTTAGTCTCAACATTATTTATAAAGACTTCGTGCCATTCATTTCGTCATTTTTCATTGTCTCATTTCTTACTTGAACTAACATACATTGGAAATGAAATAAATCACTAACAGAAAAAGAAAGCACTTGCAGTGCGTTGTGCAGTGCAGAGCAATAAAAGTGTGAAATCTAAATTAAGGATCTCAAAATTAATCCCAATTATCCTTCTTTTACCGCTCTCCGATATATATATATATATATATATATATATATATATATATATAT